TTACAAGTTTTCTGAAATTTATATATTTATTTTTTTTTTTGAAACTGCTGTTATCACTGGTGCTGTGTTCCTGTAAAAGGGGCGAATTTTTTGTCATAGTTACCCTTTTGCTGAGTGATGTGCCAGAAAATGTGCAACATGTTTCTAAGTGTACACAGAATGTCAGGAACAACATTTAAATTTTGTATCTAGTTTGGTTCTAGGTATTACTTTAAACAAAGTATCACAACCATTATATACCTTAGTATAACTTTGTATAAAAGAAGAACATCCTTCAGCAATTGTGCCGTGTCCATTCTCCATGGACAGCACTTCAGGATGTGATAACCATAACCTCCTCCCCAGCCCCCTCCCCCCCCCGCTTTATGAATGAAGGCGCCTCCGCTCATCACAGTACGATGCATTAAAAAAACCACTCTTCTGTCCTTTCCTCTTGCAGAAAACCGTCTCCTGATGTGCCTTACGCTTTCCTTTCAGGGGAGGGGAGAAGCTGGTAGCTTGTCCACGGGAGTGGCTGACACCGCAGGCTCCGTTAAGTCAGTAACACACCTAAAAAATCCAGGGAGTAGTGAGCAAGTTGTGTTGTGGACTGCAGCTGGTAACTGTTTTACCCTCTGGCCTGGATGGGGAGGAGTTCTCCTCCTATAGTGCTACTGGCTATCTCAGTTTCTTACACCATTTGTTAACTCCCAATTTACCAATTCATTTGCTTTTGCAGCATCCTCCCCATTTATTCATGGTGAACAAAAAGTCTGTTTGTTCAGACCAGGTACCCTACATGCAAAGATATCCGAGTGTCTTTCTGACATAAGATTTCCTGCTTTTGGAGACTGCCAGCCTGAAAGTGAGATCGTAGACAAATGAGACCCCCCCAAGCCCACCATTGGGTTTGGTGATTTTCCAAAGACAGGTATTTCAGAGAGCAGACATTTTTTTTCTTATCATCATGCCTAGGAAGGGTGGCTCATCACCAAAAAACAATCTTCCTTTTTGCATTTTGGGCTTCTGGAAGTCTAGGGGAGTGGCCTACATATTCCAAGCAGTACGTACGCCCTGACAGTAGATGATCCACACTTACCTGAAGCCCAAGCTGGAGGGCTCAAGCTGCCTTACCAGGTTTTGTGGAGCACCGCTCATGTCTCTGGATCCCTGCCCTCCCCCCTTACAGCAGTTTTGGCAGGAAGTAGCACGGCTTTGTCATATGTGGGGAGACCTCTTCCCTATGGATCTATGCAACTCACATGTGATGGGACACTTGCAAGAGGCAGTTGTTAATAACGGAAACTGCAGTGGATAATTTACACTGTGTTTTAGCAGGTACATTTTCATTGCTGCAGTTGTTTGGGTTTCTTTTTTTTTTTTTAACATCCAGCTGGTCTCCAGCTCTCCTTCCCCATATTTCATGTAGCATTAAGACAGCAAGGTAAGTCATGATGACAGCATCGCGTAACTACACTTCCTATTTTATGTGGTCCTTGACCTTTAAGAAATGTGCTCTTCTGGCGCTGCTCTGGAAGAAACACAGCAGGGCAGAAAGTTCCCAGAATTCGGCAGCAGAAGCCTTTTCCAGGCCTGTGCGTAATTTCCTTGCAGGCTTGTATTAGCACAAGCTAACCTGTGCCTGCGCTTCCACCGCTTCACTCAAGGGGCTGGTTCCCGGGACATTTCTCCTGACCTTCATTCTTGTTCTTCACCTCCAACTCTACTGTACAGACTTGCCGGTGCTTAACTATTCCCTTTCTCTCTCATTTGCGTCTGGAAAGCAGCTACAACCCGATGCCCCTCTGCCAGGTCCTAGATCTTGTGTGCTTGGAATTGCTTTTGTGACTCCCAGGTGCTCTGTTGCCCCACTCTGGATTGCCCTGCGACACTTTCACCAGCCTCAGACTACAACGGTCGGCACTACAGGTGCTGACTCCCGGGAGTCCTATGGAAAGAGCCAGCCCCCTTCGGATGCCTTTGGGGCAGACACTCGGCGCTGCGGCTGTGTTTCCCATTAAATACCAAGGTGGCTCTTGGTTGCAGAGGTGGGTCTGTCAGCAGGGCCCCTGCACGTGTGTAAGACAGAAGAACAGTTTGGCAGAGGTGGACTAGAATAGCGATTCCAGAAAGAAAGGCAGGTAAAGGACACAGTGGTGAAAATGCTCTCTGGCCGCAATGAAAGGGAGACTATAGACCTCTCCAGGAATCATAATTCCACTTGTCACAATTGCACCCAAGCTCCAGCACCCCAACTCATGGCCACAAGATACAGATCAGGTCTGTGAACTGTTCGAGGGCCTGCTTACCCACTCTGCAGCTTCCTTACGCTAGCAGGGATGCCCGGAGCATCAAAAGATTCTGTTCTCTGAGGTACCGCTGGAGGTCACAGAGTTTCTGGCCTTCTTTTTCCATCTTCTGGCATGAACGGTCTCTGCTCTGGAATACTCTCCCTTTGGCAGCCTGCTGCTGTACTTGTTGCCTGTCCTGCTCCCGTGATTCTTGTTCCAACGTTTCCTGCCGTGACTGCATTCTGCTCCTGAGAAAATCCTACATAAAAATAACGACATTTACAATTGTACAGCCAGCTTTCATGCTGAATTTCATCCAGTTACCACTGGCAGAAGTCAGAAACGGGTATAATCTATGGAAATTCATTCCTTGCATGCAGAAAGACTCCTTCTACCACAGAGGTGGAGAATTTTACTTCCCATCTTCCATCTTTATACATGTGTCAAAAAAAGTTACCCTTCATTTATTTATCTCTAAATGATGTAATTTTATTGGATATAAAACAGGTGAAAGATGAATACTCTGGATGGTGCCACTGCTGGAAACACTGTAGTACAGGAAAAACATTTCTGGGCTTGCCCTTACCAGCCTTTCTTTCTCTTGATCAACGCTCCTTTCATTGCGTTCTGCCTGCAACTCCTCTCTCTGCAAACGCTGTGTCTTTAAGAACTGCAGCCTCTGACTCGCCTTCCTCCTCTCCTCCTCTGGCAAGAAGGATTCCTTCCTGCTCCTCTCTGCCCCAGCAGCCTGGAGCAGCGCTCTGCGCTGCAAAGCTCTGTCTTCCTGCTCCAGCTGTTTCTCCAGCCCTTGCAATGTTCTCTGACGCAATCGCTCCCTGTTTCCAAAACAAAATTTCTCAACTTTCTCAGAAGGAAAGAGCAATAAAAGAAAAAGACAGCGCATAAGACGCAAAGCAGACATTCTGGCAGTCTGTGCGCAGTTAATATTCCAGGACTCCTCATCAGGTTATGAGGGTTAAACCTGTGTCCTAAGCAGAGGCAGCAAAACCCCCAAATGGGCTGGTGCCTGATGTGGGCTAACTGCAGTCATCTGTTCACCTGACTACGTAAACCAGAGCGGCCCTGAGGACCAGGAGCCGAGGACATGGATTGTGTGGGCAGGGCTGTAGGACTAATTCAGGAAACTGCGTGGCTGCATATATTGGTGGTGGATCCACAGGGGCAACTGAAGAGACAGAAAGAGGTGGGTCACGGGGGCAAGGACCTGCTAAGCTTAAGTGGACTGTGGGGCCAGGGAACAGGGGTTTGGGAGGCAAAAGGACTTTGGGCCCGAGGCTGAGACTGAAGGGAATTTGCCCTTGGAGGTAATGCTAAAGGTGATGAATCTGTGCATATGCCCTCACCCATACCTCAAGCGTCAAATTTATTCCCATTAGCAAACCACCATGACCACTCCGCAGAGGCTAGCATGAGGCACAGTGACTGAACGTTCGGATACTGAATGAGAGCACCAGGGAGTGGACATTGCCAACCTCACAACATTTACTACAGAAACCAGTTAGCTCCTAGGTATTACCTCTGGTTGTCCCGGCGCAGCTGGCGTCGGATGCCATCTGCTTCTTGCTGCTGCTCCCTCTTCAGCTGCCTCTGTTCCTCTTGCCACCTTTTGTGCTCAATCTTGGCTCTGTTGCAGTCCATCTCGTTCCAACTCTCCTGAGATGCACCATTAAGGATTGATTTCTAAGAGGAAAAAAACCAAACCCAACCCTTAATCTCATCAGTATATTTTTCTAATGTAAACTGTTAAGCCTACAAAACCAGAAAGCTTAGTCTTCTAATGTCACTCCTGAGCTCTGAAAGCCACACTGGCTCACAAATACTGTAGTGTCACTTCTCATCCATGAAAACACTGAGTATAATGCTAAAACCCAAACAAAAGATCAGGCTTAACCAACAAAGGAGTGCCTGAACATACAATTTCAAGAGTTCTTCACAGGCCAGTAGGCTGTGCTGTCCTGGTGTTGATCCAATGCTTAAAAGTGCCCTATCTTTGTGTCAGCTTCTGGACTGGGTGGAAAATAGAGGTTCTGACCACAAATCATATTAGAGATTCCTTATTAGGTTTTATTAGAAAGGGAAATATCTGCCTCCCTCTGGCCAAACACGAAATCTTCCAGGAGCTCTGTGCAGGCATACTGACTCTTTGCTTCCTATTGTCTGAGATTTCTAGCTGTAGTCAAGCAGTCTTTGTGTTATCTTCAGTAGTAGCTGCATTTCAAGGCTGGGCAGTGTTCCTAATTTGCATTTGCAAATGCACTGTGCTGTGTAAAGAGATGAAGGAGCATCTACAAGGCTTCTTTTCACAGCTATAATGCAGTATTTATTTCTTTTGTACTCCTTACAGTGCCCTGTATGAGGGAAGGAGCAAGGAAATATCACCATAACTTAGACATGCATTCCAGTTTACATTGCTAGAGCTGTCTGGGGCTGGAAGTTTCCACAAAATATTTTCCTCTCTCAGATGCATTCTCCCTTCTTCTATTCCCAGCTGCAATTAGCATATTCCTGCCATTAGCTGCCCCTCTGCAACGAGGATGCCTCCTTCCAGTTCTTTCCTGAGGACATCTCTAATACCACAAGCTGGAAAACGCTACAGGATAACACCCCTGCCAGTTTCATGTAGCATTTTGACTATTTTCTTTTAACACATTGATCTGTATGGCTTCCTAGGGGCAGTAAACACCTTTGTTCTCTGGTGTATTGCTATTCTTTGCAAAAATGGTACCTTGTGGGTGGTTAGTATTTCAGGACATACAGAGGGAGAGATCAAAGAATCAAAGGTGTTTTATTGGTGGGAGGTGAACAAATGGTGTTATCTAGCCAGTAAAGGACTGGCCTAAGGATTAGGAGACTTGAAGTTCCATCCCAGCCCTGACACACACTCCCCGCTCTGGGATTCAGTTAGCTACCTAGGCTTTCTCTTTTTTGGCTTTCAGTATCTGTAAAAGAGGAATACTTTTTTGCTATCTAGTAGAGTTGGCTGAGAGGTGTATTTAGAAAAGATTATATCTGAAATAAAAAACACTATAAAAAGTGCTGAGTAAAAATAGAAGTTCCTGTACAACTCTGATTCTCAAGTGGAAACCTTATGTTTCTATTTATGCATAGCCATTATTCTACATAGGCATAATTTTTGTTGCAGTAAAAACCTTTGAGAAAGAGATCAAAGGAGAGTGTATTCTCACATGATGTAAACAAATTGCTTGATCCTGACAGCTAAATCTAATTTGGACCAAATACTTACTGTAATGCTTTTGTCTTTTAGAAGATTTAGAAGATTTGTGGATCTCCTAGCCTGCACATTGGAGGTACTGTGTGGTCTCTGTACACGTAGAGCTGATTTGATGGTCAGGCTGTCTTTCGCTAGTGATTGATTCACCCGGTCAAAGAAGCTTTGGCGCCTGAAAGGAACCAAAGCACTGGTTCCCAGGGAAGGGCTCCTTTGGGAATGCTGGACTGGAGCTTCTGCCACTCTGGACTCAAAAAGACCTTTCAAATAAATTAAGGCAGGGATATATGAGGTTATAGGCAGCTTATAAAAAAAAGGAAGAAAATTAAAATATAAAACAAAAAGGTCTTCTCATATAAACTATATTCAAGCAAGACTTTTATAACTTAGTACCAGCATTTTCCTCTGAGGAAGTGGGACATTTTTTAGGCTCCACAATACAGGTCCCAGCTTTCAAAAACCAACCTTGCCATTGCAATCAAGCAAGAGTTTTGCCTGGTAACACAAGATCACTGCCTGCACTTACAGCTACTCAGGCTAAGGGGCTGTTTACATGGTATTCCGCAGACAGACATGAGCTGTTTCCGCCAATGCTCTGAGACAAGCAAAAATTATAAACTTCTTGATAGGGCAAAGCCTGAGCTGTGCATCCTGCTGAGAGACAGGAGGAATTAGCTTGGGCACAACACTGCTTTTGGGTAACTTATGAACACGGGCAGAGCTCGCTTGCCCCTTTCTGCTAAAGTCAGCGTGGACCTGAGTGGCAGCTGTTGAGCGGAATGGTGCTGGAGCACCAGCTAGGAAGGAGCGTGCATTCCTGTTTGACTTCTCATTCTCTCTCTACCAGCAGTGACACAGAGCAAAGCAATAACACTTGGAGAAAGCTTTAAGGCTTTCAGAGTCCTCACTTAAATGCCTGCAGTTGTCACAAAACCAGCTTAAAGGAGAACAGCAACAACTTGATTAAAATCGTGATCCAGCCAATTTTGGATGATAAGGGAACAAAAGTTTACTCAATGACATTATAACGCAATCATTTTCAGCGCAAATAAAAGAAGGAGGGTTCTGCAGAACAGTCCCGGTGAAATCTTTTTTGCTATAGGCAGTCATAGTTAATGTTACCAATTAATTTTTGAAGTAGGGAAGTTTTCTAATAAATAATATTTATGGTGAGCATTACGATAAAGGTTAAGAAAACCCCAAAAGCTACTACTGCCGTAGCTGTTAAAGCCAAAAAACCCAGCTTCCACCTGAAAATACTTTCCTTGAGAAGACGATGAACAATTCAAGCCATATTACCATTAATACCTACATATAACAATACTATATTAAGGTGGCTGTATGGCATTTTCTTTTAAAACGTCAAGAACTATGGCAACAGATCTTAGACGTGGTGGCCTGCTGCACTGATATTGTGTGGCAAGTCTTATGTTTGGATAAAACAGCTACAATATCAATACCATGTTTTTGTTTAGCATCAGCCTCAGCTTCAGCATCCTGCTGTCTGCTGTCTGCTTCTTCCTTCTGGACTCTTGTCTCCATTAACCAGCTGTCTGTGTTGACAGCAGTATCGACCATAGCATGAGCCACGTCCCTCTGAGGACTCTAGAAATAACAAGAAATGCAAGCATAATCCAGACCTGATAAGGAGAAGAATAGGTTAGTTTCATGAACCTACAGCGTAAGATCTTAAGTTGCAACTGAAGTTTAAGAAAGAATAAAAACAACCCAACCCTCTGGGGGAGTTTTTTACTAAAGAAACAACTCTTAACAACTCTTTAGTAATTTCTGATCACTTTGTAGGTTTCTCTACATCTTCAAATAACCTAAAACTGGCTGTACTTGTGCCTGGAAGGGTCCAAACTGGTACAACAGAGATTGGGCCAGAGGAGCTCGGGCCAGCATGGGCCAGAAATCAGGATCCTAACCCTTGTGGAGCAATAGAGAAAAGTTTGGCAGCAGCTGGTGCACCTTAACCTCCTCCTTACTGATCCTCACCCAGTGCCCTGGTGACAAGCTATAAATCAACTACCGAGGATCACAAAAGTCTCTTTTGGTCTTTGATTGGGAGAGGTGATGACTCTACCATGGGTGGAGAAATATCTTAACAGCATTATGCCAGGGACTGCCTTGGTATGGAGCAATCCTTACTGTAATCCTTATCCAGTGTAAAGTCTTCTGCCTGACACGTTTTCCTGCCTTTACCGCCCTCATGCAGAGGCAGAACATGGAGGAACTGGGCTATGCAACACTTTTATATATTCTGCATCTGTGCAAGAGGTTCTAGGAGTGTGCTCCAGCCAGTGACAATGACAGCTTCTAGCTCTTTCCAGGGTTAAAGGATCAGGAAGACAGTGGAGAGCAAAGTCTCTCTATTCTTTAGCAGGCATATGTAAGGGCCAGGCCTAAAACCTCTAGTAATTTTCTGGTACCAAGAACAGAAAACTTGAAGTAACAAAGCAGACGTTACACAAATAGCAGACCACATGCTAACAGAAGAGCCAGAGTCAAGCACTTTTTACCTTCTTAGGTTCTATAACCTCATTGTCCTGTTCCAAACAAGACTGAGCATCTTTTGGGATGTTTTCCATCTTCAGTCTCTTATCTTCCTTTTTGTCTTCCTCTCTGGAAACACTTTCTGAAGACAAAATCCTCACTTCAGACAGTTGGTCTTCTATGTTCTTGCTGAGCTCTTCTTTAGTCAAGCTTGTTCCTGGGGTGAAGGCATCTTCCTGCTGCACTCTGCACACTGTGGGCCCTGTGGGTTCCCAGGCTGCAAGGCAGCAAGGGGGAAGCGAGGTACACCTGCAGCTGCACTTAGCACACGGCTGAGTCAAATACAGGCCCCTTGGCCAGCAGTCCAGCTCTGAGTGACCTGGTCTGTAACGGCCTGAGGCTCTGTAACCTGGTGTCACGAGGTATGGGTAATCCAAGCTTGAATCTACCACCATCTCCCTGGCTGCTAAAGGCATCTGCAGTTCTAGGATGATGCGTTCGCTTAAGGGCAGAGGGATCCGCAGAACTTGGTCAGAAGACACCTCCTTAGTCTGCCCATTCCAGAAATTCACAAGCACTCCCCTTCTGTTGTGTGCTGTGCATACATTAAAAAAAAAACAAACCAAAACAAAACCAAAGAATGTATTAGCAGCATGTCAACCTGTGTGATTTACCTCTTAGAAAGCAGGAGATAAAAGTAACAGCTTGTGTTTCAGACAATTTTGTAACAAATTCCATGATTTTTTCTTTACAGCTTTAAAATTTGACCTTCTTTTGAACTTCCTCTGAAGAGAGAGCAGATAGCAAAATTCTTGCTTGTCACAGCGAGCCAGGATTTTACCCTGCAAAAGCTGGAAACTAGGCTAACAGATAACCAGGTGAATACTCGTAAGGGCCAGGAACGTTTTTCTCCCTGCATTGGGAGGACGCCCCTCCCTCTGCCCCCAACTTTTTAGGAAGTTTCCACTCATGGAACAAAGCAAAGGCTTATTCTGGGAGCTGCATTAGTTCTGGCACTGAAAAAGAACAGGCTGCTTAGTGCCAACAACAACAACAGAAAAAGATGATGAAGAGAACCCAAGCAGCAGGTGGCAAATTCTCCATGATTGAGGCTGTTTTCTTTTCTGTATAGTGACCAGCAACCGTGGCGAGCCTAGCGCTCTTAAGAAAGCCAATACCCCGTACCTAAACGTGCCTCCTTGTTCTCCATAACCTTTAGCACAGTGCCCGGGCCAAAACGTTCAGCTCTAGCCTCCCATGGTGCCAAGACCCTGTCTCCTGGAGCAAGAGGCTGTCGCCTGGCATCTTCATAGTGGAGAATGTCGTAGAGAGGCGTTTCCTGCGTGCGAAGCTGTACCTTGCCTTTCCGAGTGTGACTTTTGTCAAACTCAATTAAAAAGCGTTCCCTGGAGCTCTACAAGAGTAAAACATGTGGTTTGCGAGACAGGCATCTGGGTCCAATTAACGGCCAAACATAAGTGCTAAGAGGGAAGTGGCAGAAATCCCAGGAAGCGGAACATGATCTGGGAATGCAGCTTTCCTCTTCTACCAGGGTTTTCACTGTACTGTGCCCGTATTGGACTTTGAAAGTAATTAAAAAGCTGGGGTTTAATGGGCTTTCTCTTCCTTTCATTTTGGACTTAGATTTTAGTACAAACACCTTCAGCACACTAAGGCAGAACTTTACTGGGAAGACCTCCCATCAGGAAAAGAGTAGCCAAAAGAAACTGCTGCACACCGTGCAGTTTGGCACATAGTAATCAAAAGGATAACAAACCAGTAAAATGTCATAACTGTCATAAATTTAAATGCTTTAATTTAAGCCTTCAGCAATGGGTGTGGGGAAGATCTATTACCGAAATCTCAGCCTTCTCTGCAGATCTATGAGCACACTTACATAAATAACACTGTCAGCCCCTACTCCAGCTAACGGCACTCGTACCCTTAGAGGGGGTACAGCGGGGGAACAGACGCTCCCCGTCTGTTTCTCCCCGCACTGGAGCTTACAGCCACCCTCAGCTATATAGCATTGCTATTTATTTAACTAACCTGCCAGCTGGGAAATGCACTGGATTTCTAAAGAAAGCCTGAAGAGGGGATTTTCTGTCTGGCATCCAAAAATCATTTCACACATCCCAGAGACACAGAAGGAAGAGAACGAGGAAAGCTCTCAGTTCGGTAAGGAGGAGGTGCCGGGAGGCAGACATTTTGGATTACTAATGCTGTTGAGCTAACTGACTTCGCTGCTAGACTGGGCAGAAGTAGACAATAGGGATAAGGGACCTGTTTTCTTTGATGGTCTCTGAATAACAATTTATTAGAACTACTAAACCAGATTGATTTCCAGGCTGCTTCTGCTTGCAGGACACCTCACAGCACACAGCCACTCATCACCAGGAAACAGATGAAAATAGGATGTGGGGAGAGAAGTGTATCACCGGAGAGCCACCATACAGCAGGGCCACGGGACTGGTGAGGCATGGGAAGAACAGGAAAGAGACACCCAGATCCTAGGGATAACCTTTTACAGGCATAGTTCCCAACCAATATCTACCTCCACCTCTTGGGCAATGTGGCCCAGGTAGTAATAGCCGTCAGCTTCTCTCCTTGCCAACACACGAGCCCCCCTCACGAAACTGGAAGCCTCTGGGGTTGAATCAATGAAATTCCTCTTTGCTGAGGATATCAAGGCCGTACAAAGGGCATCTGGGTTCTGTGCACTAACAGGAAAGCTGTAGAAAACAAAAATACAGGAACTAATGAAGACCTTGGCAACAGAACTTCGGCAACTTGCTGCAATGAAAACAAAATAAATCCACATGGGACACCCACCCCAGCCCACAACAACTGTCTTTGTTTCCTAGCTTTTTTCTTCTCTGCATTTCTGGTGACCCATCCATAGGGTTTGAACTTACTATGTCACTGGACATCTTGGCAGCAGAGAGCCACAGGGATCTTTATTAGCTGTGTGACAACACTGGACATGCGAGATGGACATGGAGCTTACCTGGAGGGGGGAAGAAGGAGATGAAAGCAGAAGATGAAAATGATTTTTGAACACTTAAATCCTTAGACAGGAATATTATTTATGAAATTGAAATTTACTTTCCAGTATATTACTTCTCTCTTTGTTTTAATTCTTCCGTTCTATCTTGTGGTGCTCTGTTGTTTATCTGTAAGCTCACCGCAAATGGTTTTGATTTTAAGAAATCAAGCTTGGTAAGAAGAAATATACCAAAAAAATAAAATATAATAACTCTATGATAAAACCCCCCCTGTGTTTCACCTGCCCTCTATTCAGCTGCTAGATATGCAACAGGTTTCTGTATCATTGTTTCTTCAGTCATGATGAGATATGCTCTTCAAAGGACAACGTGTCATTTCAAGTACACACAAAGCTATAGTAGATACCCATTTTGGCCCACCTCAGATCCCATCATCATTTTATTCTACTGTGAAGGAGGCACTGGGCATGTGATTCTTGAATCAGAATAGATTTACTTTCTCAGTAGTTCTTAGGCCTTTTAGTTAACTGATTTTAGTAAAGAGCCTTGAACCTGGGAAACACACCAGTTTACTGGGCATGTGATTCTTGAATCAGAATAGATTTACTTTCTCACTAGTTCTTAGGCCTTTTAGCTCCCCGGGAGCAGGTGCTCATATCAGCCCTGCCGGCTTCCTCCCAGTCCATCTGCCCCTGGCTGCCAAGATGGGCAGCCAGCAGTCACGCGTGCGTGGCTCCTTCTTGCACCCTGCTTCTTATGCAGCTCCCCAAACTCCCCAAGCGAGCAAGCAGGAGCTGTAAGGTCAGTGAAAGGATCTGAAGTCAAGGAAGAACAAAGAAGGTGGGGACTGAGTCTAGAAGACAAAGTTGCCTTTGCAGGTCAAAGCTGGCAGTGGAGCCATCCAGCCTGAGCGGGAAGGAAAACGTGAAATGTCCGAGAGCAATGACACAGGGAACAATATGCCAGGGATGACGAGAAGGGAGAAAGACAAAATACGAGGGAGTTGGGAGGTGGAGTCAACAAAACCCCCCTGTGAATCTTATAGTAAAGTGTTCAGCTTTTATGGAAAAAGGTAAATTTGTGTTGCATTAATAGCGTGTTAAGTAAAAACAATGGGTGAATAGTTTGCTGCTATTCCCTGTAAATTGTTGCTGACAATGCATTAGGGCTGTTAGGAGACTCAGAAGAGCAGGGAAATTAAAGTCCCTTAACTACAAGGATACCCACAGGGTAGACGTGCAAAACTTGTGCTGTTTCAGCTGAGGACATCAGCTGTTTGGGATGTTAACAGATTTAGAAGGTATTGTTGTTTATTTAAACTACAGAACACCCCTGCCTAAGAGTAAAACTATGTTGAAGTCCGTGAATCAGAATACTCTGGCTGTAGGCAAGGCACCTAGCAAAGAAAAAGTAAAATCAAAGCAAGGCATTTGCTCTTTCCTTCGGGCTCTTCACCTGTCAGACACCTCTTTTCCAGTGCTGGTCTGTAAAGTTTGATGAAATCACTTTACAGGGCAAATCTTTCCCTGCAAAAGCAAACGGAGCTAGACCAAGATATATCTGAATTTGATCCCAAGTGTTGGCCATGATGCCTTTTGGTCAGGGGCTACGTGAAGCACTCCTTCCTCACAAGCAGAGATTTAAGGTACGAGTAATATACGGTTAGAATGGCGAGCACGCCAGCTCAGGATGTCAGGTACAGCCTGCCACAGAGAGGCCAAACCGATTTTAAGTCTTTGTCCTCAGGCTGCTTTGTTCATAAGCTGCCAGGCAAAACAAAGTTCCCCTTCCAGAGGGTCACGGGAACCCCTCCCCAGTTCTACTTTGTGAAATGTCATCCAATAAAGACTGGGGAGGAACTAACTAGTGTGCACTAATCTTATACCAGTGGCATACCTTTTCAGAAGCCGTAGGGGGGAGTCTGATCGCTTGAAAGGACCCCCCTGACTGCCTGGCTACTTTCTCCATTGTTTTTCCTTTGCTTCTTTCACGATCATCCGAATCTCCCAGAAAGCATACAACGTGTACTGGACGCGACCCGCTCTCCGCAAGGAGTTGGCAGATTTCCTCCGACTCTTGCTCCGGGAGGGCGTCAGTGAACAGGTACACCGACTGGCAGGCTGGGTCCTCAGGCCGCCGGCTGGCGGCCTTCGCGCCATCCTCAAACCGCAGGGACCGGATCCAGGCTGCTGCTTCAGTGACGCTACCGAGCGAACATCCGACGAGGCCCTCGCGCCATTTAAACACCTGTGAGAAAAGCGAGGAGAAGAAGTGGTGAGCAAAAGTCCTGCCGCGCTCTGCCAGCGCGGGATGGGCGCGAGATTCGTTTACCGCGGATTTTTGGGCCTTAGG